TGGGGAAACTGAGAACCAAGAAAAACCTGGGCCTGCCCAAGGTCACCCAGCAAGTATGATCAAAGGTGTGCCTGGAACCCAGGCCTCCCCACCCCGGGTGGGTACCCTGGCCTCTCTCACATCTCCCTTGGGTTTAGGCAGAGGGAAGTAGGGGTCTGTGACTCAGATGCCCCTCAGAAGGACAGGCAGGGAGACGGCCTCCACCCTGTGGCAGTGATTTAGCAGTCTAGTCCTAGAGCCTCCACCCCACCCTTTGCCCAGAGTCCCCCTGTCTCCTTTCATCAGAGGTAAGGTGACCCTGGGAAAATCACGTACCTCTCTGGGTCTTAGTTCCACCCTCTATAAAATGGGGTGGTTGCCACGACTACTCAAGGTCAACACCCAGCACAGGGCCTGTTACACTGCAGCTCCCGGTAAACACGAACCCTTCCCAGATTCAGCCAAACCCCTGGCCTTCCGAATCCCAGCTCAAGGCCTTGCCCTCTTTCTCTCTTCCTGGTCCCCACTGTCAGGCCTCCCTCTGGGTCCACAGCCTTATGCTACATCTTGGTTAGAATGGAGATTGACTGCCTAGGTTCAATTCTTACCTCTTCTGCTCACTGGCCACATGGTGGAAGGCAATCCCCTCTACCTGTCAAATGGGGACAATATAGTGACTTCCTTGATCAGGGCAGTATGGAGATCCAGCAAGATAAAGAGACAAAACAGGGGACACAGATCAATGGCAACTATTATTAAATACTAGTTGGGCCTCTAAAGCCTGTTTGGGGCCTGGAACTCACTGAGCTGTTGGCCCTTTCTGAGTCTCAGTTTCTGCCTCTTCCAAAGCTGTTAGGCTCAGTTTCTTCATCTGTAAAATGGGATACTGGTCATATCCCTCACAGGGCCATCCAGGCCACATACCCACCCTGATTCCCACCTCCTCAGTGACCCAGGCACTCACTCTGCTGAATGGACTTGAGGCCACGGAGGCAGGTGGCCGCCAGCAGGAAACCACAGCCAGCGGGAGGTGTCCGGAGCTCACCAGCCAGGCTGCAGGCAGCCCCCAGGCAGAGTGGGCCCATGGCAGCAAACTGCAGTGGGTGGTGGCGACGGCCGAGCAGCAGCGCTGACAGGGCCAGTGTGATCAGTGGTGTGGTAGTAGTGGCCAGCTGTGCCAGGTCCAAGGGCACAGCACTCAGGCCCACGTTGCCGCAGGCCATCGAGGTTCCGAAGGTAAGGCTGAGCAGCAGCACTTGCCGGTGCGTACCACGGGGCATGGGGTGCCGTGCCCCCCGGTAGCATGCCAGTGCTGCTGCCAGCATGTGCAGTGCTGATAGCAGTAGGGGCCTCCCAAAGCCATGCACTGTGAAAATCCACTTGTTGAGGCTGGACATGCTGGCTCCCGCCAGCAGCCATACCAATGCTGCTATGGCCACCCGGGTCCGGCCAGGCACCCCGAGAGTGTGGGGGGTAGCGTGGGGCCACTCGGGGGACCCAGCCACCAGAGCACTGCCAGCCACTGCCACTGCCTCAACAGAGGTCATCCTTCCGTCATGTTGCTCCAGAGGACAGCGGCACATCCGTACCAGTGGGGCTGGGGCAGGAGGCGAGCTCTCAGTGACCAGTTCTGGGCCACCAGAGAGCCCTCCTTAGGACCAGACCAGATCCTGGATCCTCAGATCCCGGCCTTCTTCTCAGACAGGTGAGAAAACCGCTTCTTTTGTCACGCCTGTGCCAGTGAGGTCCAAGAGCTATATGCTCTGTTCTCAGCCCGGGCAGGACAGAACCCAAGTTGTGGTTCCTGTGATGCCAGGCTCTCTGGTGCTCAAGCCTGGACTAGTAAGCTCCGGGCACCTCTGCCCAGAGCCTGGTGAAGTCTCCACTCTTCTCCTCGCCTAGTGCCCACGCTATGCTTGGATGGAATCTTCCTTCCTTTGCCTCTACAGTCCACACTCAGGATCTCTTGATTGTTAAGGCCGTGCCCAGGCCTGGCAGGGGTGATCCAGGCTCCCGCGCCCAGCGGTGTCCGGTGGTGCCCAGTGGTGTTCGGTGGTGCCCAGTGGTCGTGGCTCGCTGCCTCTGACAGTGCCTAGGCCCTGCGGCTGACACGCCGGCCCGCACGGAGAGCTCGCTCGGCTCGGCTCGGCTCGAGCAGGGCCTGCCCCCCAGCTCCGGCTACAGGCGGCTCCGGCTGCGGCTGCGGCTCCGGCTGCGGCTGTGGCTGTGACTCCGGCAGCAGCTCCCGCCCGGTTCCAGCTCCAGCCCCGCCCGCGGGGCGAGGCCCGGAGCTCTTGGCTCCGCCTCTGCCGCCACAGCCTGCTCTCCACCCGGAAAGTTGGGCTGAGCCTCCGGCCCCGCCCCCGGAGCCACGGAGGATGTCTCGCTCCGCCCCCACGCCGGCCATTCTCAGCCCCTCCTGGGTCGGCTTTGCATTCCTTCCATTGGCTGACCCCGCCTCCTCCAGCTTTAGTGATCAGCCTGTCTGTCCCCCCTCACCCCATTCGTGGGTGATGGGCTCCTCCCCACCCAGAGCCAAGGCGAGTCCTCATAGAGACCAAATCAAGGTGGAAGAGTGGGGAATTTTTCTGAGAGCCCGATAAAAAACTCCCATCTTCACAGGAGACTCCATTTTATTGGACCCCCACCCCCGACCCCTCTCCAGGGACCCCTATCCCAGGGCCTGTCTCTGAACCATCCGATCTCTGACCACAGTTATCCCATGGGACCTCAGCATCCAGAAGAGTTGGACCACGGGCCCCTTAAAGCCCCTCCTAGTCCCAGCACCTCCTCCCTCTCCTAGGCCAAGGCGGGCCCCTCGAGGCAGGCGGAGGGAAGCTGAATCATCAAGGCCACCACAGTTCCGGAAGGAGGGTACCGCTTGGCTAGCATCCGTCCCTGGCCAGCAGCCCCTGTTCCATCCCCCGGCACTCAGAGCTGAGTCACAACTGAACTTTCTGGTGTTCCACTCTCTGCCCTCAGCCCTGGCAGGAGAAAGAGCCCTGGGTAGGCTGGGAGGCAGAGCAGCTGCCACCAAGCCCTTGCCTTTTCTTGGGAATGGGGTTTCCCATCTGAACGACGGATGCCCCAGGTCAGCACAAGCTGATACAGATTCGAGTCCCGGCCCTGGCCTCTCTGAGCTCCCAAACAGGTGCTCAGTGCCGGCTGCCAGCCTCTTTCCTGACGTCGGGCTTCTTTCTCTGAGGAAGCTCCTACCCACTGGACACGGCCCACCCCTAGTCTGTCTTTGATAACAGCAACCTCTGGAGGAATAAGACCTCTAAGGGCGGCCACTTAGGCCTGTCTGAGGCGCCCTCTGGTGGTCAGACTGCGGAATGGCTGCAAGTGTCCCCCAACCCCATACAATCCTTGGACTCTGATTTAAAAGTCCCAGTCTCACTGGAGACACTCTATGATGGGCTTAGGAATCTGCGTTTTTACATTTGCCTTTGGTGATTCTGACGCCTTCTGGCGCCTAAACTGTATGGCAGGGGATTTCCAGGCCAAAGTCCAAAATATGAGGGTATAAAGACAGGGTTTCACCAGAAGGGATTGTGGGAGGGAAACTGAGGCAGCCAAGGCGGCATGCCCCTCCCCCTACATTTCCTGAATAAGAGGAATCAGGGCCCCCTAAGAGTTATATTCTTTGTGGGATTCTGTCAGTTTCCAGCAAGTTTCCTTTAATAACAATAATAATAATTTTTAAAAATAATAAACACTCTAACTTCCACGCTGAGCTGAGCTGGCAAGGAGTGGTGGCAGTGAAAATCTGTCTATACCTCCTGCAGGACTGCCACAAAGCTGCTCCCGCTTACCCAGCCTAGTGAGGGGTGGGCTATGAGGAATGAGGATTAACCAATATGAGGCCTGGGTGACTTGGTGGGATGGAGAGAGCTGCACACTTGGGGGTGGAGGCAGGGGGAGGGAGGCTGAGGGCAGAACCCAAAGCAAATGACCCAGCAGATAATTCCAGATGGGAGTCCAGAAGGGCCAGGGTGCATGCAGAAAGACATAACACCAGGGGCTGCCTGGGTACAGAGGCTCCACCCACCCACTGCACAGTTAGCCCTGGAGCTGGATGCTGCAGAGAGCTTGGTGAGGGGAAGGAGTCAATGTGCCCAGGGTTGTGGAGTGGGATTTAGACAAGGTCTGTCTGGCTCCAGAGCCCCAGTTTTTATCCTGGGCTCTCCACAGGTTATTCCCTTGTGGGAGAATGGGGAGTGGGGTGCCCATCTTCATGGAGAGCAGCAGCGGGCTTCCTCTCACTCTTTGGGGTCCACATGAAAGCCCAGAGCAGCCCAGAGCACCCTACCCTTGCCCACAAGTTTCCAAATGCCCCAGATTTGAGTGCTGCCTTTTGAGTGACTTGGGGAGGGATTCTGGGAGGCACCAGGAGGGGAGAAGGACTCATTTTCAGCAACTGGACTGTAGACAAATTACAAATTACTTGTCCCTAGACAAATTACTTCACTCCTGGGGCCTCAGTTTCCCTACCTGTGATCTATGATGAGCTCACAGGTATAAACATGCTATGTAAGCCAAGGTGCTATCCCATAGCTGAGTTAGGAAACAGGCTGAGAGGGGAAGTGACTTGTCTGGAGTCAATCAGATCTAAACGCAGGCTAGACACAATCCTGGTTCCTGGACCCCAGGGAGGGCCTGTTTAGCAGACTCTTACTGTGAGGGCCTGCACCAGACGTGACTACCCTCTCACCCACACCCATTCTCAGGGTCCCATCTAATTGTGCCAGACTAAACACCTAACCCAGTGTCCATAGGTGGACTGTGCTAGTCAGACCTGTGTCTCCAGGCTTTGGGACACAGGCTGAGAAAATAAGAAGGGGCTAGGGACTTGAACTGAAAGGTGGCAGGGTCACTGCTGGGGTCATACTCAGAGGAAGCTGACTGAGGGAGAGGACACAGAAGAGGCCTGAGGATAGTGGAGGTGACAAAGCCTTGAGCCCCAACTTCCATTTCCCTGACACCCTTGGTTACCCTGGAGGCAGTGGGCTGCATCTTTCAGCAAAAATCCTTTGATTTGAGCAAGATTCAGTAGCTTCCTGCTCCTCAGAGCCAAACACACTCTGACTAAGACAGTCACTTGAGAGGATGGATCACGTCTAGCTCATGGATTCTTGAAAGTCCAGTACAGGGGCATTCCCTGTAGTAACTGTCCACCTTCTCTCTCACCTGGCCTGAGACCTGCCACAGCCCATCTCCCCTGTATGGGAGGGGCCTGTGGCTTTCTCAATTGGTATCTCAAGGGGCGGGGAGGTGTCAGGGTGGTGCAGTGGCAAGTGCTGAGACCTGGGATCAATGAGTGAGGATCTGGGTTCTGCTACCTCCAGTCTGTGTGACCTGAGTCTCCAACCTTCTGCTACAGGGTGGTAAAGGGAACAGTCACAGGCAGGTCCTGAAACCTCCTGGAAGTGCCCCCTGGCTGTGATTAAGGAAGGACAAGTGAATAAGCACTCTGGGTCCTGGGCACAGATAATTCACCCTAAAAACAGAGGCCACTTCTTCATTGGGCTCTCTGATACTTTGAAGTTGGTTTCACTATAAAAGAATTTTTTAAATTGCCTACTTCCCTTAACTGCTCAGACCCTATATATTAAAATTGGCACCCTAGGAAGAGGCATCTGTTTAATCTGTGGCTTTGAGGACTCAGTATGTGTCACAGTACCTGCTGTCTGTCAGAGGCCCCCTCAGAAGATAGCCCTCCTTCCTCAGTGGGGTGGGGTGTGTAGGGTGCTTCCCTGGCCTGAACCCCACTTTCTAGAGGGCAGCCCAGAGTCCAGGGCCCTCCCAATGAGCGGCAGGGTCCCCATACCCCAACTGCCGAGGCCTGGGGTAGTACACGGACTACACTGGGGGAAAGCTAGGGGTGAGAGTTCAAGCTCTAAGGTCCTGGGCTTCCAGTCGAATTCGGGCTCTGCCATGTAATCATAACAATCACTGAAGCCCTCATTTTTAGTGTTTGAGTGGAGGAGCCAGGAAGCCACCCCAGGTCCGGTCTGTCTGTCTCCTAAGCCATGTCACCTGTTTGACACTGTGGTGAGTCACTTTCTCTCTTTGAGCACCAGTTTTCGTATGTGTAAAGCAGAGATGACAACGAAAATATCAACCACCTCAGAGTTATGCAAGAAAGTGTTTAGCAAGTATATGCTCCCTAAACAGTAATCAATGTCACCATTGCCAGCATCATTCTCCCCAGGACCCAAGACATTCATCCACCCTCTATTCCCCACCTGGAGGTATTGTCCCTTTCTCTGCTCACAGTTCCTGCATCTGCTCATTAGCATCAGGTATCAGGACACTGAGGCATGTGCACAATCAACGCTTTAATCATTTCAGAGGTAGGCTTTGAGCAGCCCTGCAGAGTGCAGAGCCCTTGCCACAGCTAGCTCTAAGGCCACCATTCTGACGGTGCACTGGAGAGCTAGGCTCAGGGCCCCAGCCCTTGGGGCTGCAGAGGTCTCCCTGCAGGACCCCAATCCCAGAGAAGGTGGTACTCACAATGCCAGCAGCTAGCAGATTTCTTGTGCTGAGGAGTCTGAGATGCTGCATGCCTTTCAGACTGAGTGGTCTTCACAGGATGCCTGTGGGGCCAGGTTGAGCCAGACCCAGGCAGACAGACCTCTGGGAGAAGGTGCTTGGTTCCTTGCTTAGAAGCCTCACAAAAGTGGTGGCTGGTGATCCGGGGACATTGCTCCAAGAGCACATGAGGAGGCAGGCAGGGTCAGGCTTATGCCTGTTACAATGGTGTCTGGAGGGAAGGTGGAAGTATAGGGACTGTGTGTAGCTGCTGGAGTGGGTGAGCCAGTGTGAGGCTACCAGACAACCAGCCTCAGCTCGATGGTTTCTCCATTCTTGGGTCTGTAGTCAGCAATACCTGCAGAGACAGGTTGAGTGGGGAAGGGGGCATTAGGGCAGAGCGTCCCAGTCCCCAACCTCATCTTCCGGACCCCCGCCCTCAGGCTAAGGTCTATCACATCTGCTTAGGGCTTGGTGGTGGGAAAGTGGAGCCAGTGCAGAGACTCTGAACTGAGCTGTAACCCAGGGCTCACAGGCTCATTTTGCAGTGGGACACCCCTAGAGAGTGAGGGTACAGGACAGCATGCTAGATAACCAACATGGGATTAAAGGAAAGAGAGACCCTGACAACACTTGATGGTCCCTGTCTTCATAGTCCCCAAGGGGCCGTCAAGATGAGGAACTTGCTTAGTATGGTCTGGAGGGAGAACTTGGCCCACGAGTAAAGTCTCCTGGGAGCCAGCCTGCCCTCACTGGAGACAACCCAGGCTCTAGCATGGCACCTGGCTTCAAGCCCCAGCTTTGTCACTCATTAGCAATGTGACTTTGGGCAAGTAATTCAACCACCGTGAGTGCTGGTGTTCTCATTTCTCAAATGAGGGTGATGAAGATATCAACACAAAGGCCTTCCCCCTTCCCATGGAAGTGGGCTTCTTGCTGGACTAGGGGTCTGTGGGGACAGGAGGTAGAGGACACAACCACTCATGTTGGCCTCATGGCTGAGTTCATCGGGCTTTCTTCCCAGGCTACATCTTCCAGCCCAGCCTTTTTCAGTAATAGAGATCAGATCTGGGGTCCCCATCTGCAACCCCTTTGTTTTATTTCTCAATGTGCTCACAAGCCAGGCAGGGTAAGCGAATGTTTCTAACGAGAATGTTTCTAACTGGGCTCCCTCAGAAAGTTCCCACCTTCTTTAAAGCCTTAGCCCAATGCCTGGTCCATGGTAAGTGCCCAGTAGAAGTTCTAGGTAGTAGGAGCAGGGACAGATGATGTTTCAGAGTCTGGTGACTGGGCTGATGCACGAGGATGCTCATGACAGCTTGGAGTGTAAGAGTTAAAACTGGAGACACCCTAGAGGTCCAGCAGGCTGTGGCCCACCCATCCCGCTCCATGCCCAGTAGCGCAGCACTCAGCACACATGGGTGGGCCTGATTGGCCTAAGCCAGTCATGTGGAGATCTCTTCTCTCTAGTCAGTGGTGGTTACAGAATCTGGGTCATCTCCCAGCAAATAGGGATGGGTCCAGAAATGCACCTGTGTCCCAATTCTATGTTCGAGACACCAGAAGAAGTTTGCTGGGTATTCAGACCAGTTTCTTCAGTCTTAAAAGAGAGCAGCCCTGGGAAGGCACAGCGGGGGCCTCTCTGGAGGAGGAAGCCAACCAAGAGAAGGGGATGGAGTCCCAGGGAAGCCAGCTAGAACCATGTTACACCAGCCCTGAAGTCCTCACTCCCTCTGGACTCCAATCACATGAGCCAATGGATGTCATATTCTGGAAGCTAGTTTGCATTGCATTTCCTGTTACTTGCAGTGCAAAGGACCCTAGTGGATAACATATTCTATGGGGTCATTACAAAGAAAAGAGAATATCTACATAAGCTGACGTAAAAATATGTCTATAATCTATTAAGAAAAAAATAATTGGCAAAACAGTATATAGAGCTGCACCGTCCAATATGCTAGCCATTAGCCATATGTGGCTACGGAGCACCTGAAATCTTAGTACACAAAAAAAAGCATGCAAAATGTCATTAATAATTTTACATTGGTTACATCTTAAAATGGTATTTAGGATATACTGGATTAAATAGGATACATTATTATTATTAGTTTCACCAACTAGAAAATTTAGAATTACATGTGTGGCTCACATTTTATTTCTATTAGACAGCATTGCTAGAGTATGGCTCTATTTTTTAATAAAACAAAAAACTTAGATATTTAAAAATAATCTGGAAGGAAACACACCAAAAGTTAAAAGAAGTTATTTCTAGATAGCAAATTACAGGTGATTTGAAAGCTGGAGTGAGTTGATGAAACCTCATTGCTGGGTTAGGGCTGAGGTGGGGGACACATCCAGAGGTGGCCAGCCACCAGACTCACCTTGCTGCAGTGGGGTGTCGGGGGCTTGGATGAGCTGCCAGAACTCACGTTCCTCAGCTTCTTTTCCCATAACAGAGGTCAGGTAAGGGCCTGACAAGGAAGCCTTTGTTTTATACCTACGAAAGGGACAGATGAAGAGGGAGAAAAGGTGACTTTTGCTCTCATTGACCCAAGGGCAGAAGCGGAGCTCATCCACACCGGGAAGTCTTGCCATCTTCCTCAGGGCCAGCACCAGCTAAACCCTTCTTGGGCTACCTCACCATGGGTCTCATCTCTACCCCTTCTCTCCAGCCCCACTGACACTGCTCTTTCAGGGGAATTTATCCCTTCTGTGTTGACCATGACCATGGCCTGCAGGAAGGAACACCTATTCATTATCAACCCAGCAGCTGGCCCCTCTCTGAGTTGTGTTGCTGTGTTGCTCAATCTACTCCCTGACTCTACATACACCATGCTCTGCATTACAAGAGAGCATTGGAGATATATTTCTGGACCTTGCAACCAAGTCTCCTTATGCACGCTCCCTTTCCTGAGCTGCTTGCCTCCAACTTTGCATTTCTCCAACCCATCTGGAAGCCACAGCCAAAGGATCCTCTTAAAACTCCATGGCTTGTGTCCCTCCTCTCTCCAAAAGGCTGATCGATGGTTTTGGTTCTAGAGAGGGAGAGTTTTCATAGTTTTAAGAAACAGAAACCCCTTCAGGGTAACTTAAGCAAAGGAAAAGAATTACTTTAGGGATGTCATGGAACAACCCCCTTTCTCCAGTCATTCCCTAACTCTGTGGGGACATGTGGCTGCTTGGAGCACTTCTCTCTGAGTGCTGTCTTGCCTCTGCCTCTGCCTCTGCCTCTGCCTCTGCCTCCTCTGCCTCTGCCTCTGCAGTCCAGCTTTCTCTGCAGTGCCTGCCTCTGCCTCTGCCTCTGCCTCTGCCTCTGCCGTACCTTGACCTTGGCCATCTTGCCTAGCCCCTCAACCCAGTTCAGGCACCCATCTTTACTAACAAGATAATTATTTCTTAGACCAGTGCCCCTGATATCTTCTCAGAGGTCCTGGAGTTCTGAACAAAAATGTTAAATTCTATTTTTTTCATTCTGATGAGAATATCTAAACATAAATGCCAGTAGGTTCTGGGTAATCTCAATGCCTGGTAGACTGAGACCTGCCAAGCAAGGGTGCTCAGTGTGTGTGACCGTCTGAACTGTGTCGGCCGCCAGCAGTACTGCTATATGCACTGCAGACTACCAGAAAGAGAACAGTGGCTTAGTAGTAAATAGCGAATTTGGGACCGGGGAAGAGCCTATGAAGACACTGCTGCCTGTACAAATTGAGGTCGGATGGCAGTTCAATCCAAGGGAATGCTGAGAGCATCGGGCTCTCCCTGCCCCTGGCGTATTCCTGCTCCTTAGCAGACAGTCTTTATTTGAATGCTATCGGCTTCATAGTTTTCTTTGCAAAGTTGCTTAGAATTTATAGCTGTCTTGAGCCAGAAAGAGAAAGGACTTTTAAGAGTAAACTTATTAGTACACATCTAAGTCATATTATAACAGAAGTAACTTAACCTGGGGTCTGTAAGAATTTTTATCCTTTCAAAGGGTCTTTGCATATTTCTGGCCTGAAATTCCCTGGGCCCAGATGACCCTAAGGCACTAGCTGTGGGCCCTCCCTAGCTGCAGGATGCTGTCCTCTGGGAAAGCCAATTGGGGACAGAAATTGGGGCCTTCTCAAACTGAGGCACATATTTCTAAACAAACAATCTGGGGTCTGGGTGGCTCAGTAGAAGGCACACACATCTCTGGGCCAGATTCCCCACTGGCAGCACGAGAATCACTCCCACCTTATTTGGGTATGACCCTGTTTCAGGGATGTGGGGTCGGTGGGGTGAGGGCTGGGACGTGGTGGTCTTACATGAATCCTCCGAGCTCTTGGGCCTTCTTTAGGACATCTTCCAATGAGGACCCAGCAGGGACAGAGATGAAGTGTCTGTATGGCGGCCAGACACTGGGAACCTTCAGTGTGACATGGATGACCTCTGGGACTTGGCTCTGTGAAAAGGACTCCACAGTTTGTTCCAACATGACTGCACCAGGGAGAGAGAAAGCAGCAGCTGGTGTGAGGGCATGAGGCCTGGATGTTAATTTTCCTTTCTTCCTTCAAAGGCACTGTGGCCCCTGGCGTATTCCTGCTCCTTCCCCAAGGTCCCATCTCAGCCAATACCACCTGCATAGCTAAAATCTGGCTCCATCCTACCCCGCCCTGTAACCTCAGCCCCCACATCCCCAGCTGCCCAAGGTCAGGCTCCTCACTGGTTTCCCTGCCTCTAGCATCCCCCCTCCTACCTATCTGCCACACGGCACCCCAGAGGGTTCTTTCTGGAATGTACATTTGCTCATATCACTCCCTTATTCCCTCTGAGGATCTTTTCTACTTTTTATTTTCTACCTGCCACTCAAGCTCATTCTCCCACACCCCACTCTTTAGCAAGACCCTTCCCCCAAATGCCAGTCTTTATACTTCTGTTTTTCTCTTGCTGTTTCTTCTCTGCTCTGCCCTCCTTCTCTCTTCTCCACTGGCATATCTCACTTGCCAAGTCAAGTTCCTCTCCCAGAGGAAGCCCTGATTCAAGCCGCTAATTGGGACTCATTATGATGTATAAGAGCTAACCAAAATGTGTCATGCTCTCACCATCCATCTATCCATCCATCCATCCATCTATCCAAATAATTTATCAAAGAAGGGGCTGGAGATTCCCAGCCTACTCAGAGCTCTCCATTTGGTGTCTCCTTCTCCACATTGTGAGTTTCTAGAATCCCGACTACATCTTAGCTGCCAGTGTGTCCCACACACTCCCACAAACTCCCATTGACTCAGCAAATCAAGACCAAATAACTACCCATCACTGGATCATGCAGACTTCAATGAGTGCCCTGCAGATTGAAAAGAACCAGGCTTCAGTGAAAGGTTTGGCTACCTCTTGGTGCCAGGCAGTCTGGAGAGATGAGATCCACATAGCTTTTGTGGTTCAAGACAGGCAGCAGCTGGGAAATCATGAGAGCATTCTGGAAGGCCCCATTCTGCACGCTGGCTGACAGAGCAGCCCCCGCGTTGAGGCATGCTCTGCCCAGCTCCACTCCGGGCACAGGGGAGGTCATTAGCAACTGGTGACAGAGTAGGGGAGAGAAGGAGGAGGTGGGTCAGCTGCCAGGGAGAAAACAGGTCTTCCTGCCCTGACCAACCCACCTCCCACCAGCCAGCAGGTAGACCATAATCCCAGAGTCTCTTTCCCACCTGCAGTGCCAGAGGGGTACTGTAGACATTCCCAAAGTGGCCTTCTGGGGTCTGGGCCTTCAGGATCTTCTCTTGCACTGTCCTGATGGCCAGGTTGATCCGGTTGCTCTGATCAGTGTTGAGGTTGGAGCGCTTCAGACAGGTGAAGGCCAAGCCTGCCATGGCTAATGTATCTGTAGGGGACAGAGCCAACTTGGGTCAGCCCAGGCATGGTCTAGGGCCAATGGGCGCCCACAGGAGGGCTTGAAGAACAGGGAAAACATGGTCAGATGGGCATTTTAGAAAGTTTCTGCCACCTAGGCAGACCAACTCAGCCCAGTTTGCCCAGTACTTTCCCAGTTTGGGCACTGTAAGTCCAGTGTCCTGGGAAACCCCTTAGTCCAGGACAAAGCAGGATGGTTAGTTAACCCTACCCCTGTCTACTGCTTCGGGGTTAGAGGTTGGGAGAGAGACTGGAGGAGGGAGGCCCAATAAGACTTCATTCTACACCACTCATTCCCAAACCTGCCTGCACATTGGGATCACCAGGCAAGTTTTAAATAAACCAATACCTGGAATAACCCCCAGATAGTCTGATGTGATAGGTCCAAGGAGCTGCCTGGGCTCTGGGTTGGGGGGTGGTCAAGCCTTCCCCCGCCCCAACCCTCAAGGTGACTTAATGCATCCACAGTGGTTTTTCTAGAAGCTTCTGAGGCAGAACAAGCATTCTGATGGCAGGGGCCCTGCTGCCTTCTTCTCTTTGGGCACCTAACCACTCCTCGAACCTACTCCGTCTTATCCCACCCCATGTGAGGCACACACACTCACTCACAGAACCAGGCCTAGAAGAGACCTTGAATCACAATAACAAGAAAGGGCACTGGAGGCCCAAAGTCACACAGTAAAGAAGCAGATCCAGGATCCAGGTCTCAGGCTTCCCAGCTTATGCAATGATAAGATCACAGCTATATAACCAGAATTTCCCCATGCCAGGTACTATGCTAAGCCCTTTATTTTTAAAACATCCTTTATCGATGCTGCTGGGAGGTCACTTTACAGGAGAAACTGAATCAGAAAGGCCAGCTGACTTGCCCAGAGCATCCTACAACAAGCATGTGCCATGGAGCAGAGGTCAGGATTTTAGTCCAGGTGCAGTGCTGGCTCAGAGCTGCTGCACCACACACAAGCCTTTGCCATTTCACTCCTAATGGACTCAATAAAAAGGGGTCCCCTGGGAAGGTGAGTATGGGACTAGGGGGTGGAGGCCTTCAGTTGGGACTGGGGGCTGGAGGAGTGCCAGCTTGACCTCGCAGGGTCTGGCCCACTCACCCACAGAGAGGTGGCCTTGGTGGAGATGATGGTCGTGTTCCACAGCATACAGGAGCTTGCCCACCACACTGTCGTGGACCCGCTTCTGGTGGACGCATAGGGCCAGGATGCTCAGGCCGTACTGGTAGTAGCTGGTATGGGGACGGCCCTGGTGATTATCCCCTGAGAGGAAGAAAACCAAGGGGCGGGGTGTCACACAGGCCTGAGGGGTTGCCTCTCTGCCCCCTCCCAGCAACCAGCCATGCTAGTCCACAGGACCCCATGGCCTGTACTTTCTAACACCCTCCTTTGGGTCGTGAGATCCTTCATTCCCTCGAACCACACCTGCTGAGGCCCTACTAAGTGGTGGGCGCTGCGCTTGGAGGTATGAATACACTGACAACAGGTCAGGCACAGCTGGGGCCTCCAACAAGAACACAACCCACACTCATGAAAGTACAATTAGAACTGAGATGTGGACCAAGGTCCATGGGGCCATATAACAAAAGTTTTTGAGTAGATGGGGAGTCAGGGCAGAAGAGAGCTGGAGGGGGAAAGAAACTTTCCAGATAGAGGGAACATATATGGAGAACCTGGGTTGCAAGCTACAAGAAGGCCAGTGTGGCTGGGGCCCACTGAGGGGCAGGCAAGTGGGTAAGCCGGAGAATAGGTGAGTCGAGCTGAAGAGAAGGACAGACAGGCTAAGCCTGAGGGCTGTGAACACAGCAGTGTTCAGATTTATATTTAAAATGCTTTCTCTGTATGCTGGGTCATCAGGAGGCAGGAAAGTTAGCAGAGAGAGGCTGGGGAGTAAGTAGTAAAAAGGCTGTGCCACTGTCCCAGAGGTGGACAGTCAGGTCAATCTTGGTGGCTGAGCAGAACTTGCTAATAAAGTACATGTGGGTTGATCAAGAATGGCTACTGGGGCAGGCCCAAGCCTCTAGGTGGATAGTGAGATAGGCAGAATGGAGGGCGGGAAAGAGGCCTGGGGAGAAAATCCATGAGCCCTCCCCATTCCTAGCAGATTGAGTCCGCTCACCAATGGCCCTCTTCTCATCCTCCAGGAACCGCTTCAACTGAGAGACCAGCCTGTCCCCCTTGCGGCCTCCGACAAATTCACAGTTGGCCCTGAGAGCAAGCAGGTAGGGGGCCAGCTGGCCCACGGAGGGCTTGGCCTGGGAGTCATTATTGTCATTGCTGGTGGCAGACCTAGGACAAAGCCAGTTAACAACACTTCCAGGAGAAAGTGCCACCCAAGAAAAGCTGGCTAGAGGTGTCCCCCATCAATACCACAAAACGGAAAAAAAAATCCTAGCAGTTGGAAAATGTACTATAACTCCCCCAAAGCAGATGTAGTCAGCTATATAAGTTGTGAGGTATGTGCCACACATATTTCATAAAGATGAAAAATTAACCTCAAGGACAAATTAAACTCTGAGGGTTCTCTCATCCAAATGACCCCTGCTTTCCCCCACCATCTTGGTCATGCTTCACCCACACACTCTCCCCTGTCTTTCCTCTTCCTGCCCTGTGTCCATTTCTCAAGAGGGAGGCCAAAGAGATGATGCTCCATAGTGCTCCTGATCCTTCATCTCTCATTCAAATTCCCACACTGGACCTCAGAACAGGCCTCCCCTTAAACCTCTAGAAAGGGAGCACAGAGTCAGATGCTTTTTCTGGGCTCGGTATGGAAGAGTGCGGTCATGGATTAGTGATGTCTGCCTCACATACAGGAGGGTAGAGTAGCAGCAAATGGATCTTGTATCAGCATCTCCATTCTAGTCAAACCACCTCCATTCTACAGATGGAGAAAGGCCCAGAGAAGATGAAACTTGCCTAAGGTCTTCCAACCAAGCAGTGACAGGTCCAAACCAGAACGCAGGTATCCTGTCTTTTAGGATGTAGAGCAAGACATACAGGGAAAGGAGAAACGAGAGCATGGCCATACCCCAAGAGGCTCTGCTGGTAGCTGAGCTTGAGGCTGTGCAGGTAGAGGGCCTCCTTGTCTCCGGCCTCCAGGCTAGAGAGGCGCAGGCCCACGTAGATACTGGGGTTCAAGTGCTCTGGGGAGAGCTGGTCCATCCAGGGCAAGAGGTGCTGGCCCAGCCCCTGCACCAGCTTGCTGTCCACCTCTGGTATGCCTTAAAAAAGAGAAGAGGCCAAGTGAGGTCACAGGGCCGGGCCACCAGAACCTTCTCCAGGGCCTTCTCCAGGGAATAAATATCTCCACCCCACGTCCACCCAGCACATATCCTACTCATATGGGAAAATCTGGCCGTAACGAAAGGCAGCAGGTAAAAGGGGGAAAGCAGACATCCTGAAAAAGCTGATGGAGTTTGCCAGAGAGAGGTGGTGGCTGGAGGCAGAGGATGCTGGTGCCAGGCAACCACTCTACCCATCAGGAGTGACAAAGAGACTGGATGCCAAGCCACGTGGTGCGTCCTGGGCACCACATCAGACCTCACTCAGTCCTCATGCCAGCCCTGTGACGTGGGTAGGTACTGTCATCATTGCTTTGCACAACAATGAACAGAAGTTCAATGTCATGTCATGTCTTACATGAAGCTGCTGAGCCAAGGATGGACCTGCCTGCAAAGCCCCTGCTCTTTGATGCTCTGTTGAACACGTGGAACATGTTACATATCCAATTTTAAAACACTGCACACTGCCCACTGTCGACCTGGGGCTGCATGGTGAACTTAGCCTGCACAGATCTCAAAATAACCCTTTTTCTGCCACCTCTGCTTAGGTGAAGAAGACCCAAGATTGTGAGGTGAATTGTTAGAAAGCCATCACGTTTTCAACCATTTATCTGTGTGTTTTGGGATTTACCTGAAACTGTGTAACTGCAATTTGAGAATACATGAAATACCTAGGAAGCCGAAGCCTCGTGGATATTTATCAGGTCCAGCTGAGCTCCCTCCACTCTCTTCCCTTAGGGAAGGAACCCGAGCTGAGTAGGTGGCTTGGGGTCACTTTAGACTTTTCCCCATTTACTGCCTCCAGGTCACTCTAGGGCTCTAGCTGTGTCCTCTGTGCCCTGTCCCAGGTTGCTGTGCAGCCTGCCCCTCCCAGGGGACCGAGCGAAGGAACTGCCAGACAGAGTGCCTCCTGGGCCTCCTGGCACGAGGACCAGGGCTCCTCTCCCATAGCCCATCTCTCTCGGTTTGAGTCCCACCATCTTGGGTCTGTTTTCCCAAAGGTCACCAATATCTATTGCTATGAGAGCAGGGGGTAGGAGGAGTGGGATTAGGGGAGGTAAAAGGGAGTTGCTTTTCTTGCCCTTTCTCTCTCGCTCAGGGTCTTTCTATATGTCTGACTCGATTTCTGTAGCGTTCTCTCTCTGTCACTGTCTCAGTCTCTACATCGCTCAGCCTGTCTCTCTGGTCATCTGTCTCTCCACCTCTCTTT